GTCACTATACATATATGCTCATATAGGTAGTTACATGGGTAAATGTAGAGTGACCTATATAACACACTAAATAAGTTGAATGACCCATCATGTACTTTATTCAATTACAAAACTAAAATCCTGTAAAGTTATATCCAGGAAAAAAAATTTAACCCCATTCACCAATATTAGGGTGGAAAAACTCAAAAGAGTTTGTGGCTTAAATCGGATCAAACTCATAATCTTAATGAGTCGAACCAAGCTAGGATTTTAGCTCATATTTTTATATACTCAATACTTGTTAATCTGCTGCTTAGTTTTTTTTACACACAAACTATTGGTATACGGTGATTTATTTATTAGTTAGTGTTTATTATTATATTTTTAATATAATTAAATTGTAAGTTTAAAATTACGAAAATGACTTAAATGTGTTAATGAGTTTAACAAGCCAGCTTACGAACCGAGCTAGGCTTTTAACTCTTTAAGATTAATGAGCCAAGCCAAGTTGACTCGTTAAGAGAATGAGCGGAGCCTTAACGAGCTATGATGCCTCTCCTAACCAATGTCGCCCGCACACACATTAAGAAAGGGATTAGCATCGGGCCAATCACCACCGCAAGTCCATTAAATGAAGCTACAACCGTACCGTCTAACACGGACTCTACCTGTAGCTTGTAGTTGTCGATACGGTTAGAATAATGGTTAGAAAAGGGCATTTTTTTTTCACTTCGGTTATAACTGATCCAACTGTTCTTTTTTAAAAGAAAAACCGTTCTTTCTGCCTCTTTAACGGATTTCAGCCGGAACAGAGCAAAACTAAAGTAAATCTCCCAGTAAAGTAAAGCCACTTCAACGGATCTGCCTCTCGAAAGAATGATAATTGCTCACTCACTCACTCGTCGGTCAGATTTAAAGAGCTAGTACTAGTATTAACTGTTTTTTTAAGTACCCTCTCCCTTTGCCAACTGGAAGGAAGGAATTACTCCCTAGGTTTTTTTTTAAGTACTCCCTCCGTCCTTAAAAAATAAAAAAAGACAAACCCTAGATTTTTGTGTCCAACATTTGACTATCCGTCTTATATAAATTTTTTTATAATTAGTATTTTCATTGTTGTTAGATGATAAAACATGATTAATATTTTATGCGTGACTTATCTTTTTAATTTTTTCATATTTTTTTTAAATGAGACGGATTGTCAAACATTGGACACGGAAACAGATGATTTGTCTTTTTTTTTTATGGAGGGAGTACTCCGTACTACCCATCGCATTGATGAAACCCAGCTGGTTTTGTACAAACCGCCACACAAAGCAAAGCAATGGCTAATCGCATGGTACAACAACACACAATGTACAACAACAACATCTCTCTCTCTCACAAATGGCACAAACGCAATGCACATGCCCTGCCCCTGCCATGGCCGAGGTGGCCGGTGAACATTTATCAACGGGCACGCAAACGCAACTGCAGCTAAGCTACGAGTAGCTGCCTGCCTGCACTGCACGGGTCGTCACGGCGAAGGGAAAGGAGAAGGATGGGCCACCTGCGGGCGTAGGGAGAGTGAACACGCAGCGCAAGCGTCCAAGTCGCGGAAAAACTTGCTTGTCGTCTCGTCTTTTAATAGGGTGGACGGATCCACCGGACGCCAACACCCACTTCTTCGGTTCTTCCCCTCGTTTGCCCTTTGTTTTGGCCTTTGGAATTTGGATGCAGCCGCCCCCGCCCGCGGCTCCCTTGGACGCACTCGCCACCTCCCTTGTACTCATAGATACGGCGGCTTTAGCATGCTTTTACCTACCTATGTCATCACTTTTTATACATTTTTCTTAAGAAATACTAACCTCCGTTTCAAGTTAGAGCAGGTACAATACCAAGCTATAAACCAGCTACAAATATATTTTAAAAAGATAAAAGAAGAAAAAGAAGAGCAGCGGGCAGCACAGACTCCAAAACGTAATATGTGTATGACAAGTAGGACCAGATATTAATAGTATAGTAAGCAACTATTGTATAAATTGGCTATTACATTGGTTATAGATGATTTGGAGCTAGTAGTGGGCTATACTATTAAACTTGCTCTTATAAGACTTTTTAGCATTTCCCACATTCATATAGATGTTAATGAATCTAGGCATACATATATATCCAGATTCATTAACATATATATAAATGTGAAAAATGCTAAAAAGTCTTATAATATAAAACGGAGGAAGTAGCTCATATTTTGGCCTGAATTTGATAAAAAAGTAACTCTGTTGGTCAAAACTTTAAAACTTATGTCTTTAGCGATTTAAAAATCAACACGAGATATTAGTAAAGTAGAGGATACCGGTAAAACTATAAAGTTAAAATTTAGAAGGGATTTTTAAGCCATAAGGTATGAATAAATCATGCTAAGCAATTTATAGTTTTGCTCGGGGTTATTCCTACATGCGGTTACCGAGCTTATTGCAGGGGCATGATAGAAGTAAATAATCGGTAGGGTTTGATAAATTTTGTTTGAATTTTTTTGTTTAAAAAATGGTGGGAAATTTTCCACCAAGTAGTTCCTTTTTTTAGCATTAATTTGTCACAGTTTTGTTATGGTTATCGTACAGTAGCCGCGCTACTGTCGGGGTCGGTAAATATCCTAGAGATGGTAGAGTGAGGACAAACAGTACATGTAAGTCGAGTGAGGCCAGCAGGAGTGTTAATTCTGCGGTCAAACATGCATTGCGCATCAGAGCCATCCTAAGTTCTTTTTTACTCCGTATTATTTTTTCCCTTTAAGAGAGGCAAAACAGGACGCTGGATCACTATCTGTCCGTCTACAAGCAACCTCATTCTTCTCCCTTATAAAAACACATCCGAGTATGGAGCCCAGTGTCGTTGCCTATGTTTTTCCACCTTGTTCCACCTTTCAAAATATAATAATAGTTTTTAGGATTAGCAAATACTAAAGTTAGATAAAAAAGTTTACTCACTTTAATTATTATTTTAAAAAATTTAAATGTCTTAGATTTGCTTTTCAAGCATCTGATTGGTTTTGGAGTCATCGTCATTATTTTTCTAGTCAAACTTATTTAAGTAAAGTTTAATCAGGATTGTAAAAAATATAGCAACATTTTAAACGCAAAACAAACATTTTATCAAAATACATTTAATGTTATACTTAATTAAACTAATTTGGTGTTGTATATATAGATAAATTTTTCTAAAACATAGTCAGGCCTAAATAAGTTTATCTAGAAGAAAAAAAAATTAAAACGGCTTATGATATAAAATGGAAAAGGTATTATTAAGGTGCAAAATGTGGATCTTAAAATCTTTATATTCTACATTTTCTTTGTGCAGTGTATTGGGTTTTCCTCTCAGCAGCTAGCTCTAGTGAGCCTGCAGCAATTGAATGGGTTCTAGAGTTGTTTTCAGAAACCATCAGACTGACCGCGGGGGAGAGAGAGAGAGAGAAGAGGGTGGCAAGAAAGAACAAAATTAAAGGAGGAGGAGGAAGAAGAAGTGGGGGCGAGTTTTGTTTTGTTGTGGCGTCGTCGTCGTGTTGCGGGGATGGAGGAATAACGAGGCCCCAACACGCCATGCTCCTTCTTGTGTTTATTCTTCCTCTCGCCACCTCGCGACAAGAGTCGTGGGGGCTTACCGGTTTCTTTACCTTTACTGTATTTTACAATTATACTATTTATTATATATTGTCCCGAAAAAGCTATTTATGGTAGTACTGCGAGCCACCTTTTGCACATCCAACCCTGCATGCTCCCCAATTAGCAAAGCTAGTGTTCTTTCGGGGTAGCACAAATTGAATACTGCCTCCGGCTTTTAATAGATAATGTATTTTTGACCCTTTTTTTTATTATTTTTTTAAAAAATATAATTATTATTTATTTTATTATGATCTGTTTATTTCATTGAAATTACTTAAATAATAAGTATTGCATATGCTCTTTTTATTAATATATGTCTAAAAGTTAACAGTGACGTATATTAAAAATTAGAGAGAGTACTGCCACTGTCACGAGAAAACTCTATTTCTACTATATACACTTGGACCATTACACATGAATTAAAAATAAAGTATTTAGCATTCCTAATACTCCATAAGTTAAGAAGAACAAGAATGCATTCTTTTCTCTCTTAAAGTCGTATCTTTCTTGCAAGATTTTCTATGGCATATAAGAAAGAAGGCAAAATGCACCTTATATTTTAGCATAAATTTTGATAGCCTATGTCCAGGTAACATGGTAAAATTATTTTATTTCCTTCTCACTAGGTGTTGTTCTTTTTCAGATTATTCATCAGATTATTAAAACATATTATTTGCTCAACGCTTAGAAAATATTCTCTTAAATAGCTTTTTTACTGCATTGATTATACAATTATTTTAATCTACTTGTTAAGTTCATTTCTTTAATATTTATTTGTTCTTATAATCACTCCATAACCCGTAACAATAGTCTATTCAATAATCTAAATTAAACATGGCCTAATTTACAAAAACACAATAATCTAAGAAAAATGGATACACCCAAACTCATAGATAAAGCATTCAAAAAGAGATGATTTACACGCAAGCTATGAAAAACCGATAACGAGCTTTAGCTACTCGCCCATAATAAATACTTAATCCGTGACAACAACAACAATCTAAATTAAACACGTCTAAGTTGCAAAAGCACAGTAATATGACAAAAAAAAAGATGCTCCCGAACTCAGAAATAAAGCCATAAAGGATGGGATACCGATCGAAAAAAAAAAGAAGCACGAGGGTTTACACGTAAGCTAAAGTTAATACATAAGAAAAACCGATAAGAAATTCGGAAATTAGCGAGGTTTTCCGCTACTCGAGCAGAGGTAGAGTCGGTCCACGCAGATTACGGGAGAATAGAAGGGGCAGCGTGCAGTCTCGGACAGAAAAAAAAAGGAAAAAAAAAAAGAAGAGGAGTGAAATGAATGCTCGGGCCGGTGCCGGTGCGCGAGTGGAGACAAGCGCGATGCGGACAAAAAAAGCCTCCTCCGCTTCTTGTCGCCAGCGCGCGCACACAACCCCCCAAAAGTCCAAAGCGCAGGCCGCTACTACCACCAAACCCCATTTCGTTCATTTCACCTGCTCTCTCTCTCGTCCTCTTTATATCTGCAATTCTGCATCGTCTCCTCTGAAAGATTGTGAAATCCTCTCTCTTCTCTTGGGACGGACTAGGGACGCTGCTGCTGCTCCTCCTTGAGGTGAGCATTTTCTTCCTTCTCTTTTGTTCACTTGTGGTGGTATGCATGCATGCCGCTGCTATGCCTCGCCTCTCTCGATGCAAGTGTTGGAGGATAGGATAGGATGATTGATAGATAGATAGCTCTCGTCGTTGTCGCTCGCTGCTTGTGCTTGTGGGTTGTATCGCAGAAATAAATGGTGGCGATTTGCTTTTGTCCCGTTGCCTGAGGAAATCTGGCCCCGGTATTGTATTTTTGTTTCCCGAGCTGTTTGCTTCTTGTTTCGATCCTCTTGGACTTTTGGCGCCAGCTTCTTCTCATCGTCGCCTTCATTGCGCTACACTACTTGCTTTGCTTTGCTTTGATTATTAATGGCTTCTTCTTCGTCTCCAATCTAATTCTGCGCAGGCAGAGCTCGCAGCCTTTTGCACCCTCACCTCGCGGGCTCCACTCATCACAAAACCTCAAATGCGCCCGTGCTCGTAGAATCGATTGGATCAAAGGTTGTAGCTTTTTTGTATTTCAAGGTTTGGGGGGGTAGCGCTGGCGAGGCTGATGGTCCAGGACGAAGGCTCGTCGTCGTCGGTGACATCCTCCCCGCTCCACAACTTCTCCAACATGCCGCTCCACCCGGCCGCGGCGGCGTCGCCCACGCCGCCATGGATGGTGCGGGAGCTGCGTTCCGACGAGCGCGGGCTGTGCCTCATCCATCTCCTGCTCAACTGCGCCGCGGCGGCGGCGGCCGGGCGGCTTGATGCTGCGAACGCCGCGCTCGAGCACATCGCGTCGCTGGCGGCGCCCGACGGGGACGCCATGCAGCGCGTGGCGGCCGCCTTCGCGGAGGCGCTGGCGCGGCGCGCGCTGAGGGCGTGGCCTGGGCTGTGCCGCGCGCTGCTCCTGCCCCGCGCGTCGCCCACGCCGGCCGAGGTCGCTGCCGCGCGCCGCCACTTCCTCGACCTCTGCCCGTTCCTCCGCCTCGCCGGCGCCGCCGCCAACCAGTCGATACTGGAGGCCATGGAGTCCGAGAAGATCGTGCACGTCATCGACCTCGGCGGCGCCGACGCCACGCAATGGCTGGAGCTCCTCCACCTCCTCGCCGCGCGCCCCGAGGGCCCGCCGCACCTGCGCCTCACGTCGGTGCACGAGCACAAGGAACTCCTCACCCAGACAGCCATGGCGCTCACGAAAGAAGCAGAGCGCCTCGACGTGCCGTTCCAGTTCAACCCGGTGGTGTCCCGCCTCGACGCCCTCGACGTGGAGTCCCTCCGCGTGAAGACCGGCGAGGCCCTCGCCATCTGCTCCAGCCTCCAGCTGCACTGCCTCCTGGCGTCCGACGACGACGCCGCCGCCGTGGCGGGCGGCGACAAGGAGAGGCGGAGCCCGGAGTCCGGGCTGTCGCCGTCGACGTCGCGCGCGGACGCGTTCCTGGGCGCGCTGTGGGGGCTGTCGCCGAAGGTGATGGTGGTGGCGGAGCAGGAGGCGAGCCACAACGCGGCGGGGCTGACGGAGAGGTTCGTGGAGGCGCTCAACTACTACGCGGCGCTGTTCGACTGCCTGGAGGTGGGGGCGGCGCGCGGGTCGGTGGAGCGCGCGCGCGTGGAGCGGTGGCTGCTCGGGGAGGAGATCAAGAACATCGTGGCGTGCGACGGCGGCGAGCGGCGGGAGCGGCACGAGCGGCTGGAGCGGTGGGCGCGGCGGCTGGAGGGCGCCGGCTTCGGCCGCGTCCCGCTCAGCTACTACGCGCTGCTCCAGGCGCGGCGGGTGGCGCAGGGCCTCGGCTGCGACGGCTTCAAGGTCCGGGAGGAGAAGGGCAACTTCTTCCTCTGCTGGCAAGATCGCGCCCTCTTCTCCGTCTCCGCATGGCGCGGCCGCCGCTTCGACTGACCGCCGCCGCCGCCGCTGCCGCCGCTCGCCGCCGCCTTCCCGTATTTCTGCGAAGGAGACGCCGCCGCGACTAGATTACTTGCTGCTGCTGCTGCTGATGAACATTCATGGTTAAGCTAGTCTTTAATCTTTTTCTTTTTCATTTTTAGTAACTGTTTAGTTCCTTCTTCTGTTTGTGTCATCTGGCTTAGGTCCAGGTGAATTCGATGTCCTTGTGTTGTTTTGTTCATAGTGTGTGTGTGTCTCTCTCTCCGTTTTGGTTGAAATGCATAATTTTCCCTAGGAATCAATCAAGTGAAGTTTACTGAACAACTCCCTCCCTCTTTTTCGTACTACACTACTATTTCTGAACTACTTGCTCATCGGAAAGGCATGAAGGTCGTTGCATTTGGTACTAAAAGACAAGACAACAGTGCCAAACCTGAACGTACACTCCTACGTGAGTTTCGTATCAGTTACGTAAAGGAAATCCAGCAAAATTAAGCTCTGCCTGATGATGCCGATGACGACGAGAGTGGTAATCTCGTCCTGAAATACTATGACTTTGGATTTGCCCTTTTCTTTTCTCATGTTACGACGCTCTGAATTCTCCGTGGAAGAATTCAACTTTGGGCGTAGCAATTTCAACGTGTCGGAAGAAGCGGCCAAGATCGAGCTCACCTTGTCGGAAATTCCACGGAATCGGCAGCCGGTGGCGTGGCGTTTCCAAATTCCACCAAACTTCTGCCAAAGTTGGGAGCTCCAACCTCAAAAGCGTCCCTGCTTTGCTTTCCACGGTGAAATTGGTAGCACCACGCGTGATGTTAATGTCGGTTTCACCTCACAGATTAATCACCATCTAATCAGTCTCTCTTATCAAACATTAAAGAAGAAAAAAAAAAGATCGATCGAATCGTTCACCTGGAGCCAAAAGCTGTTGCCGTTTTACTAGCAAAGACGGATGCTCGGATCAGATGCTCCTTTCCTTTTCTTGACAAATGGCAAGGATGAATGGTTCCTTCCTCAAAAATTCGCCTTTGGATTATCGTTTTCACGGACCTGTTTGCTTCCTTCAGGTAACCGCATAGCTGCAGCCTGCAGCCACTGTGGATTCTACTTATTCTTCATGTTCTTCATACTAGTACTCCAGATATCATATTTGGATATCTGAAACTTTTCCTGATACACCTGTCCAACGTTTTCAAATATGTGATATTTAGAATTAAGTGGTCAAAATTGCATATTGGTCACTTCAGAAAGGTAAAAGATCTCATTCCTTTGTGACCTCTTTTTGGTTTTGAAAAAAAAACTACATTTTTTTGTAATTAGAAGAGAACGTGGAAGAGGAAAACAAGGGGTATAAAAGATCCAGGAGAAGCATGCAACCCAGCAAGCCTGGCTGGATGGGCCTTCGTGTCCTTCTAGATGGGCCCAATGGAGGCCCATAGTGTTCTGGTGTAATAATTGTTAAGAGAGGTCTTCTGTTCTCAATTATCAATTTTGCTATAGCTCACTCGAAAGATTTTTTTTTCTTATCTCTCACTCGATTTTCTCACTCAAATTTACAGTGCATTTTCTTGTAAGTTACAGTGTAACTTATGAAACTTACACTGTAACTTTTGTAAGTTACAATGTAATTTTTGAATCTTCGAATGTAAATTTTAAATTTTGTATTGGATTTGGTCTTTTTCTTGAGGATATGGTAATTTAGTGTCCATTATGGTGTTTCTTAATTGCTTTTTGCTTTTTATTATATCTATCGGATTTTAATCCAAAGATTAAAAATATGTGTGATACGATCATAAAAATCTTTCGAAAGATGTATAGGTACTCCCCTCAAATATTGTAAGAGGATGATCTGTAAGTGATATGTATTAATTAAGAAATCATATCGGACTCTACCTTTATACATGCCCTAACATGTGGATCTCTTGCCGATTCAACGAGTCAATCGCAGTCAACTTGTCATGTTAGCAGAAACCGTTTCCCAAACGACTGAATAAGTCAGTGTGCACCGGATTAAAGATGGGAGATGCTTTATACCCAATTTTACGTAGAGAGACGGTTTAATCAAGGAGCAGTTGATGGGAGAGGCGAGATAGACTTGTTCCAAAAAAGAAGGGACAGAAAGGTCCAGGAGAAGCATGCAGCCCAGCAAGCCCGGCAAGATGGGCCTTGGTGTCCTCTTAGTTGAGCCCAATGGAGGCCCAAATAAAACAGTCGCCTTCTCCATCGTCTCGTCTTGGTAGGTGGTGGATGGCCGGCGCGGGGATCGACCGCGTGACGGCGTGAGGTGCGGCGGCGGCGGCGGCCATGGCGCTCGCGCAGGGCACCGGCGACTTCTCCGTGGTGGTGCTGGGCTCCGACTTCGCGGTCGACGCCGGCGCCGTGCTCCTCAACCCGGCCGACCGGGAGGAGTGGCACGACTGCCTCCCCGACCTCTCCGCGCCCGCCGACGGCGAGGACTTCTCCGACCTCGAAGAGCTCCAGGTCGTCCGCGTCCAGGGCACCGACAGGGCCGGGAGGCGCATCGTCCGCGTCGTCGGCAGGTTCTTCCCTGGTGCGCCAAACGCCCTCTTCTCCCCACCTCTCCTTTCCTTTGTGGCTTTATCAGATTGGATCGTGGTTCCCTTCTGGATGTATCTATCATCTATGTGGGTGCGAATTATGTGAACTAAACAGGAAAAAAATTGGATCCTGGAGATTGATAGTTCATAGACCTTCTCAATTGTGTAGTAAATTTAGATTCTGATCCGCCTGCACTGTTCGGTAGATGCACCGAATTGAGTGTTTTGGACACGTTGAACTTGGGAGAGGTACACAGATTTGTTGAATGCTGGACCTTGAATTAATATATCAGAGCTCGTTTGCTAGCACTCGATCAATGGATGGTTTGATTGATCTTAACTAAATGTCAGATAATTCATTTGATAATTGCCTAGTTGGTACAACGTTTATCTCCGTTTTGCTGCCCTTCATTAGTGCCTGGCGCCCTGGCGGTGTATTGGAGCGGTTGCTGGTCATTTTTTATACCGATATTGGAAATAGCAAGCAGCTGTATGTTCATTTCTTGAATATAGTGTGCGGCTGCGACTGTCATGAAGTAAACCTGATGCTGTAATGCTCTTGTGTTAGGCCCTTACTCTTTTCTCATTGTCAACACTAACATAACATCTGCTTTTCGAATTCCAGCTCCTGTCATAGGTGGTGATCGTCTGAAGAAGTATGTTCTTCACAAGCTGCGCACCGAATTGCCAGAGGGGCCATTCTGCCTTTTGTACATGCACAGCACTGTGCAGTCAGATGATAACAACCCTGGTATGTCAATCTTGAGGGGGGTCTATGAAGATCTTCCACCTGAATACAAGGAGAGACTGCAGATCTTATACTTCTTGCATCCTGGGCTTCGCTCTAGGTTGGCCATCGCCACGCTTGGCAGGCTCTTTTTAAGTGGAGGGTCAGTATTGTCTCTAATATTTTCTGTTTTGCTGTTTCCCTATCTTATTCAGCAGAAAAATTAATGATTAAACTCCACCATATTGTTGCACCTCATAGACTAGGTATTGTAGTGGTAAGTAGACCTGTTTTAAATCGATAGGCAGGCTAGTAAATCAGCGTGCTTTCTTTTATCTGCAGTCTCTGGTACTGACATTTTGGTATTGATATTAGTTGAAACCTAAAATATGCCGCTAGCAATGGACACCAGAAGTTTTTTTTCTGACAGCAAGGGTTTTAGCTCTACCAGAACCTGCCTTACTGCAATTTGATGCACAAGTAATCTCATAACCATGCAAAACCTACTCAAAGTCTCAAATGTTACCCATACATTACTCTAGCAAATATCTTGAGAACATTTGTGAAATAGATCACTGACTTTTCCTCCTAAAGCATTTACATCTCCAGAACATCAGAAAACACCTGAAGTGGCAGCTGTACACTAGTTCTCCAAATTTTGCCTCTAAAAATATGCTTCCTTCAGAAAATGATAAGCTGAAAGCTGAAAACATATGGAAAAACAGATCTTGTACAAAGATGAGAAAACAGGACAAGATGCAACATACCAATCTGTGGCATATTATAATACCTCATAGGTTCGGTAGTGATTGTAGTGATAAGTAAACCTGTTTTAAATCGATAGGCAGGCTAAATCAGTGTCCTTTCTTTTATCTGCTGTCTCCAGTACTGACTTTCAGTATTAATATTAGTTGAAATCTAAAATTCCATAAGCTTTTCTTGCAGTTTGTATTGGAAAATCAAGTATGTTAGTCGGCTGGAGTATCTTTGGGGGGACATCAGAAAGGGGGAAGTTGAAATTCCAGATTTCGTGATTGATCATGATAAGATTCTTGAGCACCGACCACTGACAGACTATGGCATAGAACCAGATCCTCTGCATCTTGCTGATATGCCTGCTGTGGGGTACTCGCTCGGAAGGTATGAAGACAAATGGTCTCCTGAAGATCGATGGTATTCTCGCAATTACATGTGAGAATTTGATAGCTTGATGGTATTCTCGCAATTTGATAGCCGAAGCATTCAAGATTCATGTATATATAATAAAACTGTATGGTAATGTTGTGTGATTGTCAGTTTGTTGGGAATTCATATAGGGCTGCTTCGGCATCGTAGGGTATATATTGCATGCAAAAGGCATACATTTCAATTTCCCAATTTAATCTCCGTCGAACACTATGCCCAGTCGAACACTATGCCTAATGTTGTTTGACAGTCGACATATAGTGATTGAGAACTGTAAGCGTAATTACATCTTATGTCTTTTATGTTTTCTGTGAAGTTCTTGACATTCCAGACAGTCAAGCAGCCTGCCATACCTTAAAACTCCAATATCCCAACAAAAACGATCAAAAACAGCTGCTGCCAGAATAAGTATCAATCTAACATCATCCAGATTTCGTGCCACTAAAGTGCAGCAAATTATTCGGATAAAACTACAAGCAAAATTTGCTGATAGCCTCATCAGGTTTAAATATCAATATTCGCACATCCTCTTCCCTAGGGGAAATCGTGCGCAGAGTCGCACATCCAATGGACTAACAACTAACAAGAGGATTAACTCTGAGAAAGTTCACGGCAACGCTTTGTAGCAGCAACAACGGCATTTATCAGCGTCCCACGGAATGCACCCTTCTCAAGCTCTTGTATCCCAGTTATGGTGGTTCCTGCCGGGGAAGTGACCATATCCTTCAGCTGACCCGGATGTTTTCCAGTCTTGTTTACCATGGTTGCAGCACCAAGAACCTATATAGATCAACAGAATATGTGACCAGAGCATAGAACAATATCGCAACATATTTTATGGAAGGAACACTCACTGTCTGAGATGCAAGACCAAGTGCAAGATCCCGAGGAAGACCAGCAGCAACTCCACCATCAGCCATGGCCTCTATTGCTAAGAAAATATAAGCCGGGCCACTACCACTGTATTCAAATAGATGGGAATACATGTTTATTCTCAAAATCATAACATATTGTTTCCAGTGAAGCTTTTCAAGAAAAGATCTGTAAAATTAGTCACATACCTTAGCCCAGTTACAGCATCAAAATATTTTTCTTCAGCTGTCCAAACTTTTCCAATGGCACTGAATAAACTTCTTACACGGTTTTCATCATTCTCAGTAGCCATCTCCCCCAAACACATCACTAGCAGATACAACGAGATCAGCAATTGATTAATTCTCAGTTCTTTGAGAAGATAAACTACGATTTCAATTACTAAATGTATGAGCATTTGCATTTAAAAAATTCTACCACCCAACTCTTAACATAATGGTAGTTCTTTTTTTCTCCTGGAAGGATTATATAAAAGTGTTGTTCACTAAAATAGGTGATATCTTCCTTAAAAAAAAGTGATATTCTGAAAGAGATATCGACACACAATATTAGTCGATTGATAACTTTACAACAAAGGTTGATTACCAATAGATTATGTGATTTTCAGTCCGACAACCATAACACATAATCTATCACAAAGTACACATGAAACAAGCATATGAAAGTTAATGGATGATTGTCATATATGTTACCTGATGCTGCTTGTCCAACAGCTGAAGGGGTGTTTGGCATTACTCTAATAAATCTTCGATGACCAGACCAACCCTGGAATTACAATCAAAAGAAAATAGGCCAAACTGTGAACAACTGAACGTTTCCAACTGAGGGAAAAAAGATCTGGCATGAATAAAGATGTTTTTATCTCATACGTTATCCACACAATTAGGCATTGTGCAACAGTTCGCTGCTTCTACATGGAATGTAGATAGAGCAATATTTCACACCAGAAGCCATGAGTTAAGATATTGAGTAAAACAAAAATATAGATTCACCTGCAGATCTTCCATCTTGATGCCAGCAGCAATGGACACCAGAAGCTTTTCTTCTGACAGCAAGGGTTTTAGCTCAACCAGTACCTGCCTTACTGCAATTTGATGCAGAGGTAATCTCATAAGCATGCAAAACCTACTCAAAGTCTCAAACGTTACCCATACATCACTAGCAAATATCCTGAGAACATTTGTGAAATTGATCACTGACTTTTTCCCCTAAAGCATTTACATCTCCAGAACATCAGAAAACACCTGAAGTAGCAGCGGTACACTAAAATCTAACTAGTTCTCCTAATTTTGCCTTTAAAAATATGCTTCCTTCCGAAAACAATAAACTGAAATCTGAAAACATAGGAAAAAACAGATGTTGTACAAAGATGAGAAAACAGGACAAGATGCAACATACCGATCTGCGGCTTCACAGAGATGACGATCACGTCACTGTCATCAACTACCTATCACAAGATAATAACAAGAGAAGAGTTACTTGCTGTCTAATGTGATGGATAATGAACTGAATTACATGCCATAAGAAAAAAAATGGCATAGAAGAACATTTGGTAGGGTAGAGTTTGCTAGGATTCAAATTTTGGTAGGATTTCCAACAGGTACTGGCTTGAATCAAACATACAAGTACAACTGAAGGTACTCAAAATTAGTGGGAATTGGTGGCAATCCAAAGCAGCCCAGGATACCTGCGCGTTGGTCTCCAAGATGTGAGCTCCGATGGATGAGAAGGCCTCGGCGCGCTCGGGGCGGCGGTGTGGCGCGGTGCGGATCGCGGTGGCCGGGAGGACGCCCGACGCCGCCACGCCGCGGGCGATGCTCTCCGCGAGGTTACCCGGGCCGATGAACCCGAGCCGGAACACCTCCGGCGACGCGGCCGCGGGCGCCGGCACGGGCTGAGGCGGCGCCGCCATTGCGAGGGATCCGAGGAGGAGGAGGAGGAGGAGGAGGCGGAGAAGAATGGCGTGGATGTGGAAGGTAGGTTTCGAGGCCTAATAATCTGTAGTGAAAATTCTGTTAATTCGAAACGGAAACGAGAAAAACCAGGAGATATTTTGGGTGAACGATACGAAGATTTGTTACACTTGTTTGGTTCAAATCGCAAACAAACTGATAATAATAAGTTATTAAAGCAAAATCCAGTGATGATTTCATGTTTTTTGAAAAGAAAAATCTGGATAATGCGATAAGAACAGGCTCCCTGAACAGTGAACAGGTCAATCCTGTTGATAATAAGAGACTAAAAATTTGAGAGTAGAAGGAAGAGGAACCGACGCTGACAAGCTGGATGGCCGTCGGGGCCACTCGCCGGTGCCCGGGGTCGCCGGAGGTCGGAGCACGGAGCGGCGGAGCGGGGAACTGCGCCGCCGTCGCGCGTCTCCGCTGTATTTTTTTTTTGGGTGGGTTTTGCTCGTCACTTGGCCGGGGGCCCAGAAGCCCCAGATCCGCTGCCCCTACAAATATATGAATGGATTCGTCGATTCAATATTTTTTTTAAAAAAAAAACTGCTTGATTTCAAATTTCAATCAGCACAAGAACAAATAAGTGAGTTATTTTCACTAGAATTTGTTTTAGTGGAATTTGCAGTAGCCAGCAGTATGCCACTTACTACTCATAGTGGAATTTGTTTTAGTGGAATTTGCGGTAGCCAGAAGTATAAGAACCTAGGAAAATAGGTTCTTATATTTTGGGAGACAACCGCCAGGAGCTCGTATGAGAGTTGGTTTGACTGCCCTAACTATGGCAGAATATTTCCGAGATGTTAATAAGCAAGACGTGCTTCTATTCATCGATAATATCTTTCGTTTTGTTCAAGCAGGATCGGAGGTATCTGCCTTATTAGGGAGAATGCCCTCTGCAGTGGGTTATCAACCTACTCTTAGTACAGAAATGGGTTCTTTGCAAGAAAGAATTACTTCTACTAAAAAGGGATCTATAACTTCGATCCAAGCGGTTTATGTACCTGCGGACGATTTGACCGACCCTGCTCCTGCTACAACATTTGCACATTTGGATGCTACTACCGTACTTTCCAGAGGATTAGCTTGGAAAGAGTACCATAAGAGTACCATATATAAAGGGATTATGTGGGAGAAAAACAGAGGTCTAACCAAAGAAGTTTGATCATGAAATCATCGCACATGTATTGCCCTTAAAATAATTACCCACATGCAATATCATATATGGTTGCTGTGAAAAATATGTCAACTGGAATATTATCTTACTGGTATGGTATACATTGGAGACCCAGCACGCTGACAAGTAAAAAAAACCATGAATCATTTCTCAAAAAGAATGATCTTCATCTATTGCTATGTTGAACAAGTTCGCTGTACAAAACAATTGTACTAGTATATATCACTGTTTTTTTTTTTTCTTTTTGATTCATATCACCATTTTATACACAAAAGAAGAAATGGCACATGACTAACTATACAACTTGCAATCTATCTCCTTTAAACACTATATAATCCACGAACTAACAAAAATGACAGACCAACACAAGATTGCTGTCCACGATGCACAATCACCCTTTGCTCTGCTAGATTGCTATTTGTACAGCCACAACTGGAAGTCTGTAACCCCACAAAATCACTTCTTCCGGAGGTACAATGTCACAGTTGAAACATTCTTCAAATTGGTCCACAGTAACATTTGGTGGAGAAGATCACTGCCTGGCAAACCTGGATCAGACATCATTCAAGCGTATGCTCAACATGCATTGCGCAGCATAACTTGCAAAAGGCCAGTTACACATGCCATTTTGCTAGTTTCAGCATGGACAGTTGCACCCCAAACATGCTTAAAAGTAGCTCGATTGTGTTTGAAGTAGCTCAAGGTGAGCAAGTATCTTTCCAATCATTGGTTTCAGGATAGGATCTCCTTTCTGAGCAAGATCAATGAGCAAAGCTTGTGCGATTTCACCATAACGCTCTCTGTGGGCTTCAAGCCGGAAGATCCTCTCAAGCATCCATATCGCCTTCTCCTGGGAAGTTGAGTTTCCTGCCTCAGCAATTCTCAGCAGAGCATGAACACCTGATGCCTTTTCTATCACCTTGCTCCCGTTTTCCCAAATCTCATCCTGCATAAGGGTAGCTAGTGCTTCCAATACTGCACCATCTGCTTCACGATTGTCATCTTCTAAGATTTGGATCAGAGGACTGACAGCACCAGCTTTCACTAAGCAGAAAGTGCTTTTGACAGTGCACTGGGAGTTGTGAACTAAACAGTAAGTTTCAGCTGATGGGGCAACACAAAGCCACCTTGGCAATTTTGTCTTACGTAATGCTAGTGAATTCTGTGACAGTTGAGCCAAGGATGTTGCTGCTTTAGACTTGGCTTTTATTGATCCTTCCGAAAGCAACTTAACAAGGCAAGGAACCACCCCATGTCCAACTGCTAAACTTTGTAATTTTTTATCCCAAGGGACTGTGAACCGAATTAACACGCCAGCAATGCCCTCAAGTAAAGACGTTCTCAATGGTGTCAATGGCGCTGTGATGTTTATCTCAAGTAAGGATATCAGGAGAGGAAGCAAGTTTGCTTCAGTGAGTAACTCAGTAATCTTCTTGTCTGTCACTGGGAGGTTGCTTAGGATACCAATAGCTGCAGCCTTCTCATTTCCAGATGTAGGTGAAGAGATAATCTTCACGAAAATATTAAGGTGGGTATCCCTAATCTGCTCAGCTAATTCCTGTGAAGCATCTTTTGACAGATTGGAAATAAAATTCAAAGCAGCAATTTTGATATCAATATTCTTTTCTGTCAGGAAGGGCAGGAGGAGTTGCACTCCACCATTTTGTCTAATTTTAGCTCTAGCTCTTTTAGCATTTGTGTGCCCAGAAATACTATTTAGGGCCCTTAGGAGGTGAAGTTGAATTACTGGACTCGATAAGTTAAGAAGCGAGAGCATTTGAGGAGCTACATCCTTATGAAGCAGGATACGCTCAGATTGTGCAATAGCTGCAAGTATAGCTGAGGCTGGCTCTCTAAGGGTCATTAACACTGACGTGACAGAGAATAGAAGTTGGAGCAGTGGTCCTGTTATGCCAGAATTTATCAAAATTTCTGCATTTTGTAGAGAGCTAGAGAGATTAAGTAAGGCACCTAGGGCCGAGTGCTTGGCTTCAAGATTTCCGGATTTAAACATTTCCACTAGAGGCTCAACTGCACCATCTTCTCCAAGGGAAGATTTCATCGGCTCAGAGAGGAACATTTTAGAAATAGCAGTTGCCATTAGGATCTTGTTCATATCAGAACCTGCAAATTAACAGGAAAATATTGCCCGTCAAGCAGGGTTTTAGAAATTTGCAACAGTGATCATAAAGTTATGTTGTAGTTTGTCAGAAGAGAGCTCTGAAGTACGAATATACTACTGATGGTAGATGGTGGTGCAAAAGGCAGTTTTTTTTTCTTTTCTAATTGCTGTTTTTGGGCTGCTATTTGTTACAGTTTTCGCTTTTCTTTATCTTCTATAAACTTTGAGTAAATTCTCTTCAATTTTATGGTAGGTCTAAAAGGTGCATATTCTGAAGATTTTCTAAACAATTAGTTGCACCAAAAGGGTCAAATGTTGTACACCTTAACGTAAAATGCCTGTTCTTGAAATCTTTCACTATATGGAGCATATGATTATAACTTACGTTTACATCTGTAAAAAAAATGTCAGCGTGGAGAACAATATGATTTATTAAACTACCTTCTTTCAGGTAATGTATCAATGGTCGAAAATAACCAGCCTCGGCCATCAGGAGCACATTTTGCGGATTGGATGACAACATGTGCAGCAATTTCTCTGCATCATCATGGGTACCTGGTTCATGTGCATTTCTTAATGTGACTAGCATTACTATACTGCCTTTAATCCTGCCAATCCTCTGCCGAACTTGCGGGATGTCTGACAAATCCAATAGCAATGCAATTGCTTCCCTTGTCTCGTCAACATCTCTAGACAAGGAACGAACAATGCTTGAAAGTGCCTCGATGCTTGCTAACCTCTCCTGAAAAATCATGGAGTAAATCCAATCACATGAATGAAACTAATAACTAAAGGGGGGAATGGGGGATTAATTGCCACTGGGAAGAACCATAAGGTAATTGATAACCCATACCATCATAGTTATTTAAGTATAGCCAACCAAAAAATACTTGTCAGAACACAAGGTGTATGATGTAATCTTTTTCCCTTTTTTAAGATATGAGGTGTATGCTATAACACCCTCTACATATTCAAATTCGAATACCTCCATTTAGTCTTGCAAATTATTGATCAGGAGTATCATGCAATGTTTTCAAGGTAAACATCATGGCAGTGTGAGACCTTAATTGGATACCCAAGTGAGTAAATTTTACAAATTACAAATTTCACTTTTCTTTTCCGAGAAGAACAATGATGTACGAGGAGTCTAAACTTCCACGGCATTGTGCACCAGATGATGGAGACAAGTCCAAGATACACCTGTGCCTCACAAGATGCACAATGACACCGAATGCAGCTTGGTAATCCCCAAATGCACTAAAGCACTGATGTTACCAAAAATGCTGCCGCATGGGCATATCATCGAACAGAAAGCGTGCGGGACTACACTTGACAATCCTAAGTGCTCACCTTGCTCTCGCAGCCAACGCAGCGCGCGAGCCGCCGCAGCGCGGCCATGACGCGGACCCTGGCCTCCGCGCCCCCGGCGGCGGCGAGCCGCGCGAGCAGCGCCGGCACCAGGACCCCGTCCTCGTCGTCGTCCTCCCCGAGCCTCCCCTGCTCCGCGAGCGCCGCCACCTCCCGCGCCACCTCGGCGAGCTCGGCGTCGGCGCCGTTCTTGACGCGGACGAGGAGGTCCTCCACGTCCACCCCCGCCGCCGTTCTCGGCATAGCAGCAGCAGCAGCGCCAAACCGAACACCACCAAGAAGCGAGCGAGCGCGCGTCAGGTGGCTGCGGAGGTCGGGGCTATGGTGAGTGGGCAGCGGCGTCGCGGGAGGAGAGAAGGATTGGAGTAAGCGGAGGAGGAGGAGGAAGAGGAAGAAGAGGTCAAGTCGACCATGGAGACGCGGCCCGAGGCCGAGGAAGCGCCGGGGTCGCTGTCTCAAGTCTCAAAGCCTCCGATTTTTGGTTCGGTCGGGCAGTGAGCACGACGGCTAACCTCCTTACCTCGAGCGTGTGTTTTTTTTTTCATTTTTCCTTCTAAGAGTTTAGAGATTCCCATTCAAAGAAAATTCATAGGAATTTTAGAGGATTTTATTCCTATAGAAATTTTTCTTACAGAGCCCTTTGAATCAAAGAAATGAACCTTATAAAATCCAATGAAATTCCTATGGAATGCCTCTTCCCATACAAGTTTTGGAGGATTTTTAACAAGAGGTAGAATCTCATGGAAGAAATTCTTTGAGTCTTTATCTCTTCTCAAATTCCTGTATTTTTCCTGTGGTCCAATCAAACGGTCATTCCTATGTTTTTTTGTGTTTTGTAATCATATGTTTTATACTTTCATTTCTGTCAGAATACTATATTTTTCCTATTCCTCCGTTTTTTCATTCCTATGATTCAAATGGGCCCTTAGTTTGCGAAAAAAAATTTAGTGTCACATCAGATGTTTGACTGGATGTCGGAAGGAGTTTTCAGACACAAATAAAAAAACTAATTTCATAACTCGTCTAGAAACCACGAGACAAATCTTTTGAGCCTAATTAAAATATCATTAGCACATGTGGGTTACTGTAGCACTTGTTGCTAATCATGAACTAATTAGGCTCACAAGATTCGTCTCGCGATTTTCCCCCTAACTGTGTAATTAATGCTCCATATATTTAAAGATTCGATACGATATTTTTAGAAAAAAAAATTGAGAAACTAAACCAGGCCTCAGTGCATGTTTAGAGCTCGTTTGGAACGTATGACAGAAAAAACACCGGAATATTAGAAAACGTATGAGTATGATAAGGTTGCTGCATGTGAAAAAAATGAAGGATTAGAAAACCGAATATTTTGTAGGTTTGGATATTCAGAACACAGGAATAGAAAATGGAGGATTAGAACACATGATTCTATCCTATGATAGCCAACGATGAATAAAAAAAAAACAGAGGTTTCGGAATCCCGTGTTTCCATGCGATTTGTAGTATCAAGGTAGCATTACTCTTGTGGATTCAGTGTAAAAGTGTGCTGATTTGGTGTTTAATTAAGGTCATGTGGGGGTAGCAAACACATCGCTATCGTCACTGAATAGTGGATGCTACCGTGGATTTGAGCCAAAGCTGCTGTCGTGTTCGTTGCCACAGCAGCAGACGCGCTTGCAGTGTTTGACCTGTTCTTTTTGAAAAGCAATGGGCGTGCGACCAAGTCATCTTTTTATCGGTGCTGAGTGCTGACCAACATCCCTTCCCTTTGTCAAGCAGAGCAGACTTACGGCGTCATAATTTTGCTTATTCACGGAATAACCGAATAAGCGGAACAACATAAAAGTAATTTATGAATAAAACTTTTATATACGTGTTCTTATCGATCTGAAAACAAAAGCTGAAAAATAAACTTTAATAAGAAAATCTTAAAATCAGCTTTAAATTTAAAGTTCAAAATTTAAATTTTAACCGATAACGATTTGAAGCAGGGGACAGCGACGCGGTCGTCAGAGCGGAGCGTGGGAGTAACGTTGCTTTTATATCTGTCTCGGTGTCGACTCGATTTGAATCGACTGGGACGTCACGGCAAATCGCGGTTGAATTGAAATCGTGCTTCTTTTTTTTTTCTTTTTCTTTTTACGTCCCAATCGCATCACCTCGCGGCGTACGGCGACTAGGCCTGGTTGGGCCAGGCTACGCCACACGCGTAGTGGGCCGTAGCCAATAGGATCCACGACGGGAGCGCATTTCACGGGCCACGCCGGAGGGAAGCAGGCCGTGCAGCCCAAAGTACGATTAATCGCGCAGGACGCCCACGAGATATCTGAGTATCGCTATACTAACAATCACTCAGTTGTACGACTCACTTATCTGTAGAAACAATGCAACCATATATCAATTAAAGAAGTGGATATTTATATACACTATAGCTGTTTATAACCGTTGATCAAATTCAGCTGTACGTGAGTCCGATAGTTAGATCATAGCTATAGCTATTTCCAAGATATTTTCATCGGTTTGCCCTGCGTTGAAATGTGGTTTTTGTTTTTTAACCAGGACAAAGATGAAGTTAGGACATGGAAAGAAACCATTAAAGTATAGTTAATTGAGTTTTTTTAAAATATTTATTTATCTAGTATTTTAAAGTAAGTTCTATATAAAAGTATTTTACACGAGATATATTATTATTTAGTAGTTTACAAAACGTGTCAATGAAAATGGGACTAAAATGTACTCCCTCCGTCCCAAAATATAAGTATTTTTAGCTATGAATCTAGATAACTGTATGTCCAGATTAATAGCTAAAAGTTATTATATTCTGAGACGGAGGTAGTATATCTTAATTAGAAAAGAACACCCCAGAGCTTGATCAGCTGCATGCCGATTGCGAGTCCCGATCAGAAAAACAAAAGACGATGTTGCACTGGAATAGTGGTAGTAAAACACAAAAGGTGATAATTTAAGTGAATGAATCACACGAAGCCGTACCAAACACAAGACGCAGTATACATGAAAAATTTCTATCACACGGCACACGTAGCTATAGTAATTTCTTCAGTTATTCTGATGGTCGAGTCCCTCGGATAAAAAACAAACTCGGTGAGAAACAACTGGTTTTAATGATCATACACTGATACATACACACAGTACATATATAGCACAGCGATCGAGCGTCGTCTCACGCATCACGTACATACCACTGGCTGTGTATTAACTCTGTATGTACGTATAATCGTATGTGTGCTGGCTTAGTCGCAGCACATCTCGCAGATCCAGCAGCAGCACAGCGCAGCAATACTGAAGAAGAAGAAGATGAGCAGAAATTTTGGTTAGGTTTCAGACTCTCAGGGGGGGGGGGGATTATACTATGATTTCCAGCAAATTAATTTAAGAAGCCACAATTAACCGATCGATTATACTCACCATCCTTCAATGAAGCCTTTGTCTCCCCTAGACTTGGTGCTTCCTCGCCGCGATTTCTTCCCGCCTTGCTCAGCTGCTCCCGCTGCCGTCGGGTACCCTGTTTTTTTTTTTTTGTTCATTTCATTTGCACACAGTCAGAAAACGAACCAGGCAACAGTAAGAAATTAATTATCCTAGCTAAATCCTAATATATCTGAAGATACATGCAACTAACTTCAACATCTAAGTACAGAGGCCTTTTATGCTGTAGATAATTAGGCATCTCTAGAGAGAGAGAGAGAGACCTGGAGGCGGCTGGTTGTTGCTGTTGTTCTCCATGGTGTAGTACAGAGACTAGCTTCCTTCTCGTGGAGAATGAATCACTATTGAACAGAGATGGATCCAGAGAAGTATGTCTTGAGATAATTTCTCTGAACAATCCCAAGTCCCCTATATATAGTGGTTCTTCAGTGCGATGCAAGCTAGTAATACCTTCCTTGTGAGCCTTGGTTTCTTCCAGATCAGCCTTCCGAGAAAGTGCTCGCTGTCGCCTTTCTCACACCTACAGCGCCATCAGAGATTGACACATCTGTTTGCCTGATTTGCTGCTTGTATGTCCTATGCGCACTGTAACTGCTAAAGCAAACACTAGTACTAGTAGTTATCAACAACTAACAACCAGGTTTGACAGAGCTAACCAAAAAATCGTTGTTTATTCGTGAGCGAATCAAAAGAAGCCACTGTTGACGGTGGATATTGCGAATCAAAAGAAGCCACTGTTCACACCAAACTTTCCCCAAACTCCCAACTTTTTATCACATCACATCACATCCAACCTTTTCTACTTAGGCTGTGTTTAGTTCACACTGAAGTTTGGAATTTTGGTTGAAATTGGTACGATATGATAGAAAAGTTGTGTGTGTATGAAATGTTTGATGTGATGGAAAGTTGTAAGTTTGGAAAAAAAAACTTTGGAACTAAACAGGGCTCACATAAACTTCCAACTTTTTTTCTAAATTACTAATTTTTCCCAAACTTCTCCCCAACTTCAGGAACTAAACACAGCCATACAGAAAAAAGAGGAAGTTTTCTGATCTCTTCTCGTCAGTTTTGTTCTTTTATTATGAAGGTGAAGATGAAGTTTTTTTTACGTAAAACGAGGTGGTATTAACGTATGATTGATTGAGTTTTAATTATTACAAACTTAAAAAATAGATTAATACGATATTTTAGAGCAACTTTCATATAGAAATTAAGTTTTCGCACGAAACACATCATTTATCAGTTTGAAAAGCGTGCCAAAAAATCTTAATATCCATCCAACTTTTATCGGAGAAAAGAAAGAGACCTCGTGTTGCGGTGTTGCATCATCACTTCACCGTGGGCGGCCGGAGGAAGGAAATCAAAAGCGAAACTTTGATTGAGATGCAAAGCTACACACTTGGCATGTCATAGCCTCCCTTTCTGACAATGTTTTTTTTTCCCTGCATCTTTAAACAAAGGGAATCAGGTTCCTCTCCCACTGGAAGAAAAACATCTGTCATCTAGATAAGGGCGGCATGTTCACACCATTCTAGCTAGATGTTAGGATTCTATCAAGTTAATTTAGTGGTCAATTGTTCAACTTTCATGCGAAGAGAACCATTCCTGATTCTCCTCCTCCTCCTGTTCTTCGATTGAGTTTGAACATTTTTCAACGACTGTGTTCAAAAGAAATTTTTTGTTCAAACGATTCGAGGCAGCCGGAGACATTCCTGTTGGTATAACTGAATGTCTGAATTTCTATCTACCACGGCGCCGCTGATCTCTAGATTCTCTACCAAGAATCTGTGCGTTTTGATTTCAAATATATCACATTTTTCAAACGTGCTTCAGAATGCTCGCGATTGTGCATGAAAGAGGTCGGCGCATCACATGCATACTTGGAGGTGTGCAATTGATCGTGGTCGAGATCACTCTGGACGGGCATATATTTTTGGATTTTGATAGGATGGTGTGAAGTGAATTTATGCTGGATAGATAGATCATACATACTTTAATCGAGTTGCACCGTTCATATTAGTGCCTGCTCGCTAGCCAGTGGTTTCATCGATCGGTCGATTATTACTACTGGATTACACAACTAATATGTATTATTAATATGAGAAAAATCTACTCTATGCCTTTGAGTTTATGCTAGTTCAACGATTTATCATCGACTTTGTTTCTCTCTATAACATCACCGACTTTGTCAAATTTTTCTACAATATACCACTGGGTTGAATACTTTTCAAAAATGACTAAAATGCCCTTCAAGCCATTCAAGAGTTGATAGTTGATTGGCTCATTAGAAGTTTAAAAAAAATATATGAAAATTTTTGTGTCTCCTTCTTACACAATATATAAGTTTGTGTGTATATTTGAAGATTTTCTTCCACATTTTCTTTTAAAAAAGTATTTTAAGTGGCATGTAAAAGAGGAACCGCGTACACTAAAGATAGCAAGATTAGAAAAATAATTTTGTGTAGGATATGAAAGATGATTTACATAAAAGAACATCAATATATACAAGAATATTCTATTAGAAACTAAATTATATTTTTGAAAAAATAATACATGCAAATTAAAAATCTTAAAATATACACAAATTTCTATATTATGTAAGGCAGCTATGTAAAAAGTTTTATATTTTTCGATACTTTAAGTGGGTGAATCAATTGTGTAAAGTAAGGTATATCCTGAAGAGCCTTTTTGTTTTTTTTTTTGCAATATATCCACCCAATGAGATATTGTAGAAAAAAATTGACAAAGTCGGTGGCCATAGAGGAAGACAAAGTTGATGGCTCTTCGTTGAATTGAGTAACTTAGAGATATAGAATAGATTCTCTCTATTAATATTATTGGTTGTACGGTTGGTTACAAACAACCTCATCTTTTCATTTATACTTATACTTGTAAGTTAAATTTGAAATTTCAAAACTTAATTTTAAAGTTGATTTTACGATTTTTTTATTGAAACTTATTTTACACTATTTCCTTTTAAATCACTAAGAATATGTATATAAAATTTTTACCTATAATTTATATTTAATTGGTAATAAGTGGTTTGGATAAGCATTATACATAAGCGAAAATGCAAGGCTGAAAATAGAAATGAAGTTTTCTGTAATAATAGCAAAGTCACACATATACTCAAGGCGGGCTCAAGGCATAATTAAGCCGTTCCGTACCGGAATCTGACCGCCGGAGAGAGATTGGACTGCACATAATCTGAATTATTTCCAGAACAGAATCCAGGACAGAAAGAATTCTAACCATGGAGAAGGAGAGAATTCCTTCACAAGCCGTCGTATCGTGGACAAAGCGGATCCTAGTTAGCAGCGAGGGGGAGCGGTTAGAGCACGCCATCGGATATTGTCAAAAGGATCAATTATGGAGTGTCAATTTCTTGCGATATAAATGTTTCCGATTAATTCTTCTACCAGTACACATCCACCACTCACAAAATTGTCTCTCTCTAATATGATGAAATTGTTAATTTTTCCTCTGCCCAAGTGTTGAGGCCATCTTGGCTCATAGAAATGCACTAATCTCAAAGCATATTAAACAATCCAAAATCCGATTAATATGTAGCGAAAAATCTGTCGATTTGTCTGAAACACGTATAGCGATATCAGGAGAATAAACCAAAGATGATAGGTGAAAAAAATAAAATATAGTCTTAAGATTATAAAACCATCTATATTATAAGATAAATTTAAAGAGTATAATTTATTATATTTTGAGATAGGAATTATTTGCGCCGCCACACGTGTCGGCACGGCAACTTACGAAGCACGTGTCTCTGCGCCACCATGTTCGATCACAGGGGCGGAGCTAGAGCGAGATGGAGGGGGCGTCATTTGTTTAATTTATTCTGCTTTATATCAAGTTTAAGCTAATATAAGTGTCTAAATTTGTATCGAGAAGGGTGCACACGTAGTGAAAATAGATCAGTATAGCTATAACTTTTTCTTGACTGGGTCCCTGGACACCCTTATCTCCGCCCAAACTGCGGAGGCTAGAATTAATCTGCACGCTGAATGGCAGATCCAGCAGCCATCGTCGCGCTGTGCCGGACCTGTACTGGGTCGAGGTACGAAGTGACGACGACGCACTACACACGCAGGGTGCTCGTCGAAATGCCACGGCCGTCTCCTCTCCTCGCCGTGCAATGTGCCGAGCTGATCACGCGCGCTGTAAGTGTTTCACGGGATTCTGGATGCTTCACCCTGCAGGTAGTATCATGCGTGATCTTCAGGCGTGTGTAGAAGAATGGATAATTGGTTCAATTGTCTACTACCGTCATTCAGAATCCATAGGGAAAGTAATTTGGGCCGATAACTCAAGGTTTTACACATCGTGTTTTGGGCCGATAGCTCTGGCCCAAATTCACTTACAAACCTGTCCAGCCCAATGGGCCGGTTTCCGGATCCAGCCCAATGAAGCCTTTTTGTATGAAGTTTAAGTAGTACTAGTTCAATGGGCTTACATCCAAGCGTACCCAACATTATGGCATTCACAATAGCAGGCTGAACATAGCGGTAAAATCCAAGCCTACCAATATTTCTGCACAGAACTTTCTCATCCTAAGTCAGCTTTTCTCCTTACTCCTTTCGCTTTTTTGCCTCTTGTACAATTTACAGTAAAAGTTATTTTCATACATACCCCCAGTTAAAACCTTCAGTGTTGTTTCATTCAGAAAAGAATATGCTTTTCTATTTGGCTTCAATAAACTACCAGATGATCGATTGCCGGGGGAAGTTTTACGTCCTATTATTTTAGCTTATGGCTTCGGATTATCAATTAGATTATTCATGCCATGCTTTGTGATTTCTCTGAAAACTTTCTTTATCGATATTGTTGAGATATATTTTTTTTCAATCAATTTGTTAACTTTATAAACTCTCACCACTTGCTCTACGGTTGATAAGCCATTACAAATGAACAAAGCAACCAAAAATAATTTATAGGTAAAAGGTTGATATTTGTGTTCTTAATATTTTAAAAGCCAAAGATAAAAAATAAACTATGATAAAAGAATCTAAAAAAATATTTATAAAATTAAATTTGAAAATTCAAATTTTGACTGATCGAATTCTAATAAGCCAACAAGCAAACGATAGAGCTATGCATGGGTATTAGGAAAGTAGAGAGAAATAAATAGTTGAATATTATGATTAGTTGAGATGAGTAAGCAGGTGTAGAAATCAAATGAGAAATGACCGTGATTGGTTGAGATGAGGAGAAGGTAGAGAAGATAAATTCCAAATACTAGAAATTGCTATATTTCGGGTTGGAGAAAGTAATATTTAACTTATAAGTATTAGTTTCAAACAAAAATCATGAATAGTTCATTTTCATGTTATGCGTAGGTATTCGCACCTCGTAAGTCGTAACGGTGGCCATGCATGTAACTTATAGTACTAGTTATGATAAACTGAACAAGTCAAAATTTCAGTAGATAAAAATGCAAAACCCTTGTGTACTCTTAAGAGATGATATACCGGTAAACGTTAGG